ATCTGTACCGCCAATCTCCTACCTCAAGACCTAGTAATATTTCAGTGAAATGCTGGTACGGCTGTGTTGTGAATGAAAGCAGTAGCATTGCAGGGGACTGACGAAAGATGCTTTAACGTGGAGGAACTGAACCAAACACAAGACTCAGCTGAGGACGTACTGGAATCTGCGATTTCTTTACAGTTTACGTCAGTGCTTTCGCACATGATTTGATATCTAACACACAAATACATTACAAGTCAACTAGCACTAGACAAAAATAGCTCCTCGCCCACCACGTTCCTGAAATAATAAGAGACATCCTCCAGAGTGTACACATACATTTGGCCTTGCTCTATCTTCTTCTTGTTCTGTTGGGTACTATGGTGATTTGTATCCACAAGGCCCCGGTCACACTGAGAAGCAAAAACACCTTGGCACATCATGTTGGGCAAAACATGACTGAGAAATCACGTGATTATTGGAAAAACGCACACAAATTAATCTCTGTAATCTCCCTCATGCCCCCGATTACATGTGGTCTCTCTCTCTCAAAGATAGTACCCTATCTCAACCTATCATGATGTGGTATAAATTCCCCCTTCCCTCTCACATTTTCTGTAGATCTCTCCCAATCCAACAGCTAACTAGTTAGCTAGCCCTTTTATCGGCATAGTAAACCCCATTGTACTCAATTATTTTTTATTTAACCTTTATTAAACCAGAAAAACCACTTGAGATTTATATCTTTTGTTCAAAAGTGTCCTGGCCAAGACAGGCAGCAACATAAGTTACAGAACAAAAATACAGTAGCCTGAGTGTCAGACTGAAGCTCCCAGAACCTTCAGTCTGACATGGCTTCCATTGAAGGCGATTTACAAGGGGGAAGGAATTTGATTTTTTCCCTAACCAATCAGTAGAGATCAACGACTCACCCAGAATGTGACGTCATTGGTATCCATGCCTCAGGGGTGCCGAAAACAAGCGAGCATTGCCCGTTTAAAATGTCTCCGTCGTCGTGCACGCCCAGCTGCATCGCCGTTAAATCCAGTTTAGCAGCTTCCTTAATTTGGTCCTCCATTAACGCGAGTAGTGGCGAAATACCTCGATAGCATCGTCAATGTGGTCTGTAGGATCTGTAGCGGTCGCCATTGTTGCTATCCTCACCAGTTACCCACCTGTGTACAGCTTGACATCAGCGTGGCGCTGATTGGCTAATCGCTAGACCCCCGGCGTTCATTGGTCCGTCCAGCGTTTGGACGAGATAAATCGCAAATTCATTGAAGTATGCCAGACCAGAGATGCAAGCCTACTCAGTTGAGTGGGCGGGGTCTATGGTCTGGAACCAGGCTAAAAATACAGAGAATAAAAATGTAAAACTCTAAAACAAGCAATATAAAACACACAATAAGATTACTACAAAGAAAAGCCAAAAAGCATGTTAATATACAGTACAGGCCAAAAGTTTGGACACACCTTCTCATTCAATGCATTTTCTTTACTTTCATGACTATTTACATTGTAGATTCTCACTGAAGGCATCAAAACTATGAATGAACACATGTGGAGTTATGTACTTAACAAAAAAAGGTGAAATAACTGAAAACATGTTTTATATTCTAGTTTCTTCAAAATAGCCACCCTTTGCTCTGATTACTGCTTTGCACACTCTTGGCATTCTCTCGATGAGCTTCAAGAGGTAGTCACCTGAAATGGTTTTCCAACAGTCTTGAAGGAGTTCCCAGAGGTGTTTAGCACTTGTTGGCCCCTTTGCCTTCACTCTGCGGTCCAGCTCACCCCAAACCATCTTGATTGGGTTCAGGTCCGGTGACTGTGGAGGCCAGGTCATCTGCCGCAGCACTCCATCACTCTCCTTCTTGGTCAAATAGCCCTTACACAGCCTGGAGGTGTGTTTGGGGTCATTGTCCTGTTGAAAAATAAATGATCGTCCAACTAAACGCAAACCGGATGGGATGGCATGTCGCTGCAGGATGCTGTGGTAGCCATGCTGGTTCAGTGTGCCTTCAATTTTGAATAAATCCCCAACAGTGTCACCAGCAAAACACCCACACACCATCACACCTCCTCCTCCATGCTTCACAGTGGGAACCAGGCATGTGGAATCCATCTGTTCACCTTTTCTGCATCTCACAAAGACACGGCGGTTGGAACCAAAGATCTCAAATTTGGACTCATCAGACCAAAGCACAGATTTCCACTGGTCTAATGTCCATTCCTTGTGTTTCTTGGCCCAAACAAATCTCTTCTGCTTGTTACCTCTCCTTAGCAGTGGTTTCCTAGCAGCTATTTGACCATGAAGGCCTGATTGGCGCAGTCTCCTCTTAACAGTTGTTCTAGAGATGGGTCTGCTGCTAGAACTCTGTGAGGCATTCATCTGGTCTCTGATCTGAGCTGCTGTTAACTTGCGATTTCTGAGGCTGGTGACTCAGATGAACTTATCCTCAGAAGCAGAGGTGACTCTTGGTCTTCCTTTCCTGGGTCGGTCCTCATGTGTGCCAGTTTCGTTGTAGCGCTTGATGGTTTTTGCGACTCCACTTGGGGACACATTTAAAGTTTTTGCAATTTTCCGGACTGACTGACCTTCATTTCTTAAAGTAATGATGGCCACTCGTTTTTCTTTAGTTAGCTGATTGGTTCTTGCCATAATATGAATTTTAACAGTTGTCCAATAGGGCTGTCGGCTGTGTATTAACCTGACTTCTGCACAACACAACTGATGGTCCCAACCCCATTGATAAAGCAAGAAATTCCACTAATTAACCCTGATAAGGCACACCTGTGAAGTGGAAACCATTTCAGGTGACTACCTCTTGAAGCTCATGGAGAGAATGCCAAGAGTGTGCAAAGCAGTAATCAGAGCAAAGGGTGGCTATTTTGAAGAAACTAGAATATAAAACATGTTTTCAGTTATTTCACCTTTTTTTGTTAAGTACATAACTCCACATGTGTTCATTCATAGTTTTGATGCCTTCAGTGAGAATCTACAATGTAAATAGTCATGAAAATAAAGAAAACACATTGAATGAGAAGGTGTGTCCAAACTTTTGGCCTGTACTGTATATTAGAAATGAACCATAAAAACACAAAAAAGGCAACTACACATGATTACAAGGACCAGCTGAGATACACTGTGACACCGGCATATACAACTTGTGTACAAGAATCCTGCAACAGTGCTTTGAAACGGCATCCATCCATTTTCATCACCGCTTATCCTCTTGAGGGTCGACACTGGGCAAGAGGCAGGGTCCACCCTGGACAGGTCACCAGACTATCACAGGGCTGACACATAGAGACAGACAACCATTCATGCTCACATTCACACATACGGACAATTTAGAGTCACCAATTAACCTGCATGTCTTTGGACTGTGGGAGGAAGCTGGAGTACCTGGAGAAAACCCGGAGAAACGGCATGCATTCACCAATTAGTATTTGAATTACAGGGTGGCCTTCATTGTAACGAAATACTTCTAAAATCAACCTTCTGTCTGCATAAGTCATTGTCCCACTGTTCCTACCACAGCTACCAGGAAAAGGTGAGAATATTCTAACCCGTATGCACATCTAAAAAAGATAAGAAAAATGTCATGTGTGGCTCAAGAAAGGAGCGCACGCCAGGTGTGCTGTACCACAGGAAAACAATGGTTTTACTGGCAACACGTTTCTAGCATTACTGCCATCTGCTGGACTGTCCCTTAACCCTTCTGCTCCAGCATTGCCATGGCATGTGTGAAAAGGCACAAGATGGAAAATCACTTACGGTGCCTGAAAGGTCATCCCAGTAATTTACTAGGAGCTACAGTGTGTGTGAAAAAGGCTTTAGATCAGCATAAGATTGGAAGCAGGGGGAAACAGCAAACTGGCTTTGTTCAGAGGTAACAAATTAAGCCCAACTGTACATCTAAAGCTCACTATTTAACATGTTATATTTAGTTGTTTTAATCCGTACAAAAACTGACATGTAAAATCAATAATTCACCATTAGGAATAAAACTGAGGGGACGAGGAGAAGCAAGACAAGAGAAAACAGGAAATGGAGGCGTCTGTGAGAACTCATCCCCCTTCGCTTTTTGACATTTGTTTTGGAAGGATGAAACTGAAGCCATAATTTTCACACACAAACACACTCTCACAAAAACTGCACACATTGCACGGACAAACCCCAGTGGGTTTCCTCACGTTGCAACCATGAGGGTGCAATCAGAAAATCCTCTTTGTCTCAACTGAAACCAGATCGGAGCGCTCGGCCTTGCCGTGTCGACAACAAACACAAAAGCGAAGAGTGCAGTTATGACCAACGACAGGCAGACAGACTGCAGATGTGCACGTGTCAGATCAATAAATGTTATAGAGTGAATAATGCTTTCATTTGGATTAACTTAGCTGTCAGTGTTTGGGAAAACTCAAGCGAGAACATTCATCATCATATTTTGAATCATATTATCAACAGATGTGTTTGGCTCGGCTGGCCTGCTGCTGTCAGAGACCCACTGTTTGCTTTGTCTTGATGATAGAAATGCACATATACAAAGAGCATACACCCATGCGCACACACCTCCTGCCTCCAAGCAAATCCCCAAAACAAGGCCTGTGTGTTGCAGCTGCAGGCTGATTGGAGTGACAAGCCAAAACTGTCTACACCGTGGCCAATGTCCTGATTCACAGCTATGTATGGTTTCTATAGCACCCCGCTCACCGCTCATTACATGGAAAATTGACCAAAATTACAGCCCTGACACAGCTTGCAGTCAACCAGAAGTGTGTTTAGATGTAACAGGGAGAAGATGTGAATATTCCCTCGTGGCTATTATCTGTTCCCTTCATATTTTGATGAAGGAGGCCGATTATCATCTCAGTGTTGAAACATTCTGGTGTTCCCATTTCCTGCGTCCGCCCAAAATCAGCCTGGAAATCTAAATGGAGTGTAAAAGACCCTGTGTGTTTATCTGGTGGGATAATATTTACTCACTGTTCTCTAACTTTCCCTTCCTCTGTAGCTGTGTTTGTGGCTGGATCAGGGAGTAAACTATGGGAGGTGCCCACAGCCTCCTTCACTTCCTCCTCCAACCTCAGTGAGAGCCTGCAGTGGGAGCAGGACTGTCAGTACCGCCACCCACAGGACAGAGTGAGAATCACAGCAGACATCCCTCCAAGACTGGATGGCACCTGGGTGTCAACAAGGTGATTTTTCTTTGAGTTAAGTTGTTGTAGCGATGAAGTGCTCAAGCAAGAGATATAGAAATGTGTAGAATTTAAGTCAAGAAAGCTTAAAAAGACACTTCACATATACATCCAGCCTCATCACGTTGTTATATCCTTATCTGTATTAAAACACTGTTTTCCAAATTTGAATTGAAGCAAGCATTCCCCACAGTTGTACACTTTAGATGTGGATTTCAGTCAGACTTGAATCGTAGAAATAAGGACTTGACTTGGTTTTTGAGACCTGGTAAAATCCCAGAATGCACAAACCCACACAGTCACCTCCATGAAGCTAAAGACTAGTCCACACATACACACACAAAGCTACTAATGGGCTGTAGGCACAGTTACTTTAGTCTGACATGAATGACAGGAGATGCAATACAGTTTAAAATGTTTACCGAGAAGTTGAAATACACTCAGTCACACGGTAGAAAAACTATGTGCTGCAGTGCCTAATGCAGCTCTCTGCTCAACTAAACTGCACATGATTTAAGTGCAAAATTAAAGGGAGCCTCACCATAAAATTCAACATACATGCATTTTAGTCCTTTTACATTTTTATACAATATTTAATTTTTATACAATGTCTGGAAATTAATTTTGTATGATATTTAAATTAACTTATATTCACACATTGTGGCTCTTACATATGGGTACATTTGAAAACGTACCTTTCTCTATGCGTATTGGATTTTCGTCTACACGTTAACTGCATTCTTGGTCACTTTTGTAAAACTTCATCCAGGCTTAAAGGATAACTTCGGTATTTTTCAACCTGGGCTCTATTTCCCATGTGTATGTGTGCGTATGATTCATAGGTACAACTCGTTCTAAAATTGGTTCAGTATTGAGGGAGGCGGATGCAGCTGGCAGCCGCGAAACGTGTCCTGCGTCCTGTATAAGTTTGCGCATTAAACATGCTTTTTTTCGCCACTGACTGGTTCAGATTGTCAGTGTTATCTCTGTAGATAGCATACTAAGCGTTTCCCTTACCCTTCACTTCCTCTGGGCTGTGACATCATCTTGCGAGAGCTTTGCTTGTTGCCGGAAGAAAACAGAGGAGCCATGCAGAGCGCCGCTCCGAGTGGCGCTGGTTGTCCCGGAGTACAGCTGAGAGTTTTACTGCATCGATTGAAAACAATGGTTCGTGTTTGTGCTTATCCGAATGGCAAGAACAGGATGTCGCGTAACACCCCGTACAGCTTTCACAGGCTGCCTTTGTCGGACGGTGAGATGCTGAAGTTGTGGCTAATTGTGCTACAAATGGATGCTAACACTCCTGTCCAGACACTGCGCCTTGCAGACCATCGGGTCTGCAGTGCTCACTTCTCCCAAGATGACTACTGCCAGCCGAAGAAGAGAAGACATCCAATCCCGAAACACCTCTTCCTCAAGGTCCCACGAGTAGAGAGAGCTACAGACACAGTGGAGGCAATGTTATATAAACAATGTTCGAATTGTCCGAAGTCAGTGGTGAAAAAAAGCATGTTTAATGCGCAAACTTATACGGGACGCATTTGCCCCCGTTACTGTTTTAGCTCGTTTCGTGGCTGCTGGCTGCATCCGCCTCCCTCAGTACTGAAGCAATTTTAGAACGAGTTGTACCTATGAATCATACGCACACATACACATGGGAAATAGGGCCCAGGTTGAAAAATACCGAAGTTATCCTTTAACATGTTCAGAAACTCAGTTTTCAGTGTTGGCTTGTAATGCCAGAGTGTGCGCTGTCACAAATGACGCGACATGTAATGCAATGACAGACATGGCCAAAATAGTTCTGGCTCTAACCTTGCTAACGGGACTTTTTATATGTTTACACATACATGTACAGTTTTTCTTTCCCTATATTAAGGAACATAGGTTTCAGAATTTGACAGCTCCAGATAGCCCTCTAGTAATAGCTTTGTCGGTGGCTTCTGATTGGCCAACAAGGCTTTAGGGTAAGGGTCATATCACCTCCTGTGGGTCTGGCACACTCTATACAGTGCATCAACTGTGTTTTTGCAATAACATTTTGACAAAGTTATTTTAAAACAGTGTGTGTGGACAGGATTTGGATTGAATTTAATACCTCAAAAATACATGTGTTCGTATGGACTAGGCCTGAGCTATGAGTTTTTCAGCTTGTTGCTCTGAGTTTTCTGGCCTACAACTTTAAGCTGAAGTCACTGTACATGGCCTGTTAAACACCAAACAACAGAGAGACAAAGTTAGCAACTAGCCGGTGAACATATGGTAACACTGAGCAGCTAAAGAGACATATATTTCCTTCAGGAGGTGGTGGAGACCCAAAACAGAGCAAAAATGCATATATAGGCCACTGTTGGCTAACAAGTTGGCCAGAAATCAGTTAATTCAGGTTTAACATTAGCTAGCTCAGTGGTGCTAGCAGTAGATGCACATTTCCTTCTGCACAGTGGTGTGGTTGGTTGGTGTAGTTTAGTAGAAAGAAAATAGTTCCTACATGAAACTGCTCACAGCAAGGTCTGTGAATTATCTTGAGTAACTGGGTCATGATTTCTATCACTAATCTTACCTCATTATGACCATTTCATTCCTCTGTGTTCAGGTGTGAAGTCCGTCCCGGCCCAGAGTTCCTCACCCGTTCTTACACCTTCCACCCCAGCCGTCACTTCCAGGCCCTGCAGCACTACTACTCAGACAGCAGCTGCGAGGACCCGGCCTACTCCCTGATGATCAGGGGGAAGCTTCGTCTGCGCCAGGCCTCCTGGATCACCCGCGGGGGCACTGAAGCTGAACACCACCTCAGCAAGGTGGGCATCGTGGTCCACAGCATGGCAGCCAAGCAGAGGCTGGCCTCCAGTCTGCCTCAGACCTGCGTGACTCTGACCCTGAGTCGTGTGGTGCTGGGGAAGCCGTATGAGCTGTACAACACACGGGCGGGGAGGGGATGTCTGGCAGCACTGGGCTTCTCCATGTTGGAGTTAGGACTTCTGCGGGTGGAGACGCAGCACCACAGCCGTGGAGGGAAGGTCCAGGAGCTGCTCTTAGGGGACATTCACACTGACTGGGCACAGAGGACTCAGAACAGACCAACAGGGTACCAACAGCCGCTGCAGAACGCCATGGTGAGACATTACTGTGTTTGTATTTACCAGAGAGAGTTGATCAGAGAGGTGTGGGAGGTTAATTATAAAGTCAGGCACAGGCACTACAAACAATGTACCATTAGCAGGTCAACAGTAAGGCAGTTGGAGTTTCAGTGCGCTGCCCAAGAGCACTTTAAAGGTCCACCCCAAAACATTTGTATTTGACAATCTAGGAATGAGACTCAACAAACAACAATCTTTCTCCAGAATCTCATACTGCACCTTAAAGCAAGTGTTCAAAAAAAACTAATCGACAAATTTATTAATGATGAAAATAATCATTAGTCACAGCCTTAAATCACACTGTCTCCCCTCTTCTTTGTAGCATCACATCCACCCCTGCCCTGTGTGCGCCCTGGTGTACCGCTCCTCAGAGCAGCGCCCCCCGGTGTTGCCCCGCAGACCTGCAGCTCCTCTGTCTCCGGCCGGCCGCTGGGTCAGTCAGCGCTGCGAAACCCGTCCCAACGTCCTCTTCCTCACCCGAGACTTCACCTTCGATCCTGACCAGCACGCATGGGAGGGCATCTACCGGCACTACTCGGACCCCGCCTGCTCTCAGCCCACTTTTACCCTGAGAGCCTCGGGCCACTACGCTCAGGGAAACCCCTCCGCCAAGGTCTCAGGAGCCACCGAATTCGTCTTCAAGGTCACCCAGGTGAGAGTCACAGCTGCGGAGGAGCCCACAGCGAAGCTGTTGAATGCGACAAGGCCTGGAAAGTGTGGTCGCTCCGGAGGCTGGGAGGTCAACGTGGAGCAGGACTTGACCCCCACAGATGGGTGCACCCTGCTGGGCATCAAGCTGCCACATAAGGAGTACGAGCTCTTCAAGACTGAGCTGGATCACAAGAAACACCCGCTGCTGTTCATTGGAGAGAGGCCGACTGACGGGTCAAGCCCAGACCGACTGCACAGGAGGCCCACTTCCTTTCAGGCTCCCATGGTGCTTTGCAGCGGGGGGGACAAACAGCCTTCCTATCGCTACGGCTCAGGCTTTAACAGCAAGCAAGTCCAGTTAGCAGCCAGTGGGACAGAGAGACTGGCACAGCTGGTGTTACTGGTGCTGGGATCTGTGCTGGGCAGCGGGTTCTTTGTTTATTAGAGACACATTCACAAATCGCACCTGTTACACAGCTGAAGTCATTGATGGACATTGTCTTCTGGCAGCTTTCTTTCACTCTTCCTCCACGTGATGATGACCAACATGTGTGATGGTCAAGAAAAATCATGAGACACTCAGGAGAGCTGAATAAATTTTTATATCTGGCTGTCAGATGCTGCCTATAGAGTCACTTTAATGACTCCTAACTTCAGCTGTAATTCTACCTAAACTAATCTGTATATAAACCACCAGTATATACAAATGCCGTCATGTCAGTATGTAAAAATATATTCTTTTATACCGTCTTCCTTTTGCATTATGATCAAATGTTCTCTCTTCACAGATTAATTATTCCTTTTGCATATTTCTGTGTACATGCAGTTTTCTTGTCATGTCTTTTATTACAAAGCAAAATCACAGCATTGAAATGTGGATCAGTTTTCATTTCCACATCAAAGTAAAAGCCATGGACTTCCCAGCGGACTTCACACGAGAGCTCATTTTCATCCAAGATGCAGTATAACTAATGCACTTTGTACAGAACGTTGTTTTCTCAACATGCTGGAGACAAAAGAAGCTGGAAAGTGGAACAATTGTAATCAGCACTCTAATAGCTGCCATCCTCATCCTCACTGGTCTGATGCCACTGTGGTGTGCCATGTTGCTTTATCTCTGTCCTCCGTCAAAGCTCCTGTATTAGTCTGCTTTTCTATCAGCAGCCAGTCTAAACAAATCTAATGAATATTTATTTTAACCATTTATACTTTTGATAAGAGGAAGATTTTTGATCTAATATTTTATAGTTAGTTTCGCCATTTAAGAAGTGATTATTTTCTATTTGTATTAAAATGGCTTTTCATAACATTTTGTGTTCAATCTTTGAAACAAGTGTTTACAGCCATGCTGCTCTGTCAGGCACTTGGAGACATCTGGGTGCCAGTCTTCAAACACATATTGTCTGATGACCAGCGGTGTGGTGGAAGGTATACCCAGGTATATGGGGTATATGATGATGATGATGATGATGATGATGATGCTTTAGTACAAAGCTGGGACTCACTCAGAATCACAAAACACACACATACATAGGAGGTCAGGAGTCGTGAAGGCGGAAAAATCTGTTCAGTGAAATCACACGAAAAGCAAAGTCCATAAATCCAAGCAGACTCAAAAACCAAGGAGACAAACAAAGGGAAACGGCTGGAGAACACACAAGGCGACAATGACACTCTGGCAACTGAATGGCGGAAACACTGGGCTTTAAATACACAAGGGCTGATGACTAACTACACACAGGTGAGTGGAACAAGACACAGGTGAAACACGAGGTAATCAACAATGGCGGGAAAACTCAGGAGGTACAAGAAACCCTGAACACAATGAGAAGACATTTCAAAGTAAAACAGGAACTGCACACAAACACAGAATATCACACTCTTTCTGGCGGTTTACAGTATACGGACCTATCAGTCAAAAAGCCATTGGAATATATGACAGTATACCCACTTCCTCTACCCTAGAAATCCAGAGTTCTTGCTAGAGCACAATTTGAATTTGCTCAGTCACTCTGGCAATCAGTAATGATACTCATTACCCATGCCCTTGGAACTGAGCTGCACCAATCACATCTGTGTATCTGATATAGGCGGGCCAGAGGTGAGCTAAACAGATGACAACAGCGCTGCAACGACTAAGTCCGGAATCAGTCAGTAAACACTGCAAGATGACTACGGATGAACACCAGTTGTTTGAAACGGCTTTGGCTGCTACAATGAAAGAGTTAGACTTGGCTTTTTCTCTAAAAGAGAAACAGAAGACGGCGCTCGAATCTTTCCTTTGCAAGAAAGACGTCTTTGCTGTTTTGCCGACCGGATATGGTACTAATCTACCAGTTAGCTCCGCTGGTAGCGTCATCCCGTGTATTGTTCTGATTGGCCATAGTGTTATTCAATTGTGTGCAGTGATATTTTCAAATGCATGCTTGGTGCCGCCCCTTGAGTTGGGCCATTTGCATTACTCATAGCCAGACCCTAAATCTTTCTAGATTTACTACCACTACACCACTGCTGATAACCAGAAGCCTCTGGAGCCAAGGGCCAGTAGCCTATTACCAGCTGATCTGGTGTAGCCAGAGCCAATGCATCCCCTTCAATGCATCGGTCATTTCGACTAATCTCCATAAACAGATAAATGCATAATGATTTCTTTAAAAAGCTAACACAAAGCTAACTTGTTGTCAGACGATAGCTGATTGCCTCTGAGATTGCACTGTGGCTAATGTGTTCCGTCTCTCTACACGAACTGTTTACCTGCCGCTCAAACCTGATTAGTCAACTACTTGGACTACAAATGGACTACAAATAGAAACAATAACACTTACGCCAGGCTCACACTGGACACAGGAGCGCTGTGAGGCATGCTGATTTTCCATGGAGTAGTGCCTGCTTGCTTTCAGCATCCATGTTAACACACTGGGCTTTTCACACTGGACGTGTGGCTGAACGCCCTGCCTAGCTTGTGTCTGCACTCTGCAGCGATAGTTTCAGCATCTGGTCTATTTTTTTCCGTGAGCAGCAAGCAAATCTGGCAAGGAAAACACACCGAAAATGTATTATTTTGAATATGATATAAATGATCTGACTGTGATAAATAATAGAATATGCATCTCATGCTTCCACGTATCTGTCAGTTATGTCTAAACACGAAGAGAAAGAGACGAGCAGAGCCACACACACACCCACACTCATGCACACAAAATCACAGACACACTCAGAGACACATGCAGACAGAAAGAGAGCTCTACATCTGATTTAAACAGAGCAGAGAGCAAAATAATTTGTGTACATCGTGGGGAAATGCACTTCTGAACGGCCAGGCGACTGCTGACAGACAGGGGTTAGGATACCAAACCGTCGCCAGATATCTGCATATATATGTAGAATCTCTTTATAAAGATAGGCTAAGTGCTAATGTCAGCCTGCTAACATGCTCACAGTGACAAAAAACATGCCAATATGCACCAGAAACCTGATTTGTTTAGGTCCTATCCTCTGACCAATGGGCTGTCTTTACCCTCACCATCCAATATCAGTGCCTTACCCCAACCATCTTTGCACATACATAGAACAAATTGAGTTTCATGGACAGATCAGGCAGCAACAATGCTGATATTTTTTCACCATCTCAGTTTATTTGCCTGCACTTAACAAAAAGCATTGTTATACTGATTTGTGCTGATATTTAGTCATAAACCAAAGTATTGGATGATGGTGCTGGATGTAAAGTTAAGGGATTAAAGTTTTTGCAATTTATCCTGGGGGGGACATGAAAGTCTGAACCGAATTTCAGAGCAATGCATAAAATAGTTTTTGGGATGTTGGTCAAAACCACAAAGGTCAACCTTGTGGTGGTGCTGATGGAAAAATTATCAGATCGCCAAAGTCAATAGGATTCATTGTCTGGGGACCATGACTGTTTGTGCAAAATTTCACAGTAATCCGTCCAATAATTGTTGTGATATTTCAGTCTGGTGAACCGACTGACCTGCATGAGTAAAATGAAAGTGTCCTCCATCCCAAAGCTGCTGTTTTATTTCAAGAACTAAACAGAAAATCAGGACTGTAGCATCAGCTGGATGTTGTCCCCTCTGCGGTGTTTAGACTGTGGTCTGATTCAAAGCCCAGATAGTGGGTGGGTGAGCTTAGTACCGTTTGATAAATAACTATCATATGGCTCGCACATTACTACACGAGGCATTCCAGCGCAGGTCCAACTGCTGGAAACACACAGGCGGATATCAGATTGGATGCACAATGTATCACAAGAATGAACAGCTGAAAGCCAACAAAATAGATTTCGCAGTCGCTCTGACAATAAATGAGGCGAGCGACACAGCAGTTAGGAGACAGCAGATGATTATATATATAGCTCCAGATTTCCAGTGTTATGACTGAAGTAAGTGAAGCGTCGTGCTCCACAGAGTGAGATATCTTCCATTTGTAAAATTCTGACACCTGCATCTAAAAAAATAGCTGCCGGCAGCTCAGCTCAGCTCACACTATCTCCTTAAATCAGGTGTGTATAAAAATGTTTTGTATTTACATACAGATAATCTGTGAGGATTAAAAAACAAAACCAAAGTCCATGAAAAGACATTGGAACCAATTTTAAAGACCCTGAAACCATATTTTCTCAATCAGTTTCTTACTGTGAGCAGTGGGATCCTACAAGAACACAAAATTAGCTGTGTATCAAAGTTCAAACAGTTTTGGTGATTTGACCTCTCTCTGATTTAAATTAGACGTGGAGACAAATCAAATCCGAAGACAGTTGGTGGATTGTTTGGTAACTGTCAATCAAATCTAATCAAATCACACCCACACACAGGGGCGTCCAGTAGCTCAGCAGGTAGAGGTCCATGTACAAAGACAATACCCAGGCTTGATTCCAGCCTCTGGCCCTTTCCTGCATGTCACCCCCTCTGTCTCTCCTTTACACTCTTAATTCTGTCCTGTCTAATAAAGGCAAAAAGCCATGAGAATAATCTTTAAAACAACAACAACAACACACACCCACACAGTCCTGATGAAGCAAATTAGTTTCATGTTTTAGTGTTCAAATCTTATTTAAAACAGATAGTTATAGTCCTTGATTATGACTGGTTGGGCCACATTCGAAGCTGTTGTAAAATACTTTATAAACACATATAATATATAATTCCAGTATTGCTACACCAGTTAGCCACTTACAAACCATTGTATAATTAACACATCCAGCAGACACAGAGAACCATTATTATTCATTTGGAGTCGTGTCTCTGACTACCTGGTGAATTAAAGTCCAATATTAATTCAACTTTTAGCTCTGTTTTTGGTCTCCACGAACTCCTAAGGAAAATATTTGGCTTTTTAGCTGATAAACGCTCTACTGTTTTCACCAGCCAATCGCCAATTTTGCCTATATGTCATTTGGTGCTGGGCAAGCAGAATACAGTATTTTTTAAAATAGTTTTTGTGCTAAAAAAAACACAGCACTATAATAGCTTTGAGACTTAAACAAAACAGTAGAGCCGGAAAACCAAAACAGTAAGCTGAAAGACTTGTGTGTTATTATAAAAAATATTGATTATAGTCTTAAAGATTTTAGACCAACTTTTCAGGGGCTGTCACATCAAACTATTCTGCTTTTGTAAACTACTGTCTGTGCTGCAGCTTTAAAATGAGTAAATACGTAAAATACACAAAAAAATAATGAAGCAAAATTGATGTTAGTTGGCTCCCCAGCATTCAAGTGGGGACAGAAAGAGAGAGAACGAGGAAGATAGAGAGAGAGTCAGTCCTTTCCAGAGACTACATGCTGTTCCTATTAACTCCTGCGAGAATGGTGATGGCAGCTGTTAGCCCCATGAGGTCATCCTTCAGGCTTGGATGGAGAATATAGGTCTGTAACCTCCTGAAGCCAACACACAAAAAAAGAACACAGACTCAGACAAAGACGAGCCGAGAGTGGACGTGTGGCATTTATCTGAACAATGATGTGCGGAATCTGTCATTAAAATGGAGAACCAGTGAATCCAGCAGCAACCGCATGGATCCACCCATAGTTAACTGGGTGGTGATGATGACTGAAGAGAAGGGCCCTGGGGCTGCACAGTTTTTCATAGTCTGTTTGCGGTTTTCTGTACTCATAAAGTAGAGAGACTGTCAGAGGCAGAGAGGACTGCAGAGCCAACCTGTTAGCAATCAGGCCTGGTGGCTTATTGAATGCATCCATTGAACAACAGAAACAACAAAAAGAAATAAGATAAAACACAGACCT